AGAATGTTTCTCTAGCACAATGTCTCGAATATGTTCAGTAAAATTGACAGAAAGACGCCGTCACGACTCACCCAGACAACCCACCTTGGCCAAAGGAAACCATTCCTTATCTGACAACCGCTCTGATGACAGAACCGTTACCGGGTAGGACCTACTCCGGAAATAGTCTCAAGTGCCTTGTCCTAACAGTCATCCCCGGGATCTAGGGTGGGAAGAAGATTAGAGGCAATGACTGTGGCTGTCGGCAGGTTTGAAGAAGGCGGAGGTGCTGTCTTGGTAAATGGGTTGACTGCAATGTCCCAATGGGGCGGGTCGAGAGCCTACTAGGTTGATGAATAGGTCAAGGTGGCTCTTCTCCATAGTGGTGACCCCCTATGACATCATCAATGCACCGTTCGCAAAATTCAGGGAGGCGCCCTGCACAGTTTCTCTCCACCATGTGTTCGAAAGTCCCATGAACAAATGTGCGTAGCTGTGTGTGAGCTAAGGTACGTGAGCAATACTATGTGAGCAATAACATGTGACTAAAGGTATGTGAGCAACAGTATGCTTAGACTTCAATCTGGTTCAATCTGAGCTTTGAACTGATGATTTAAAAAGCATAATCATAATCTACATATAAAACTATGGAACCTCTGTCTTAAAACGTATGGCACGTCAGCTCTGATTATGACACATCAAACCAGGGGGGGGGGGGTAATTAGGTCGGTGAGTGGTTTAACTACATAAAGTTGTTTTAAGTTGACTGCGATTTAGTTACAGGAAGCTCCAGGCGATAGAGGGGGGGGAGGTAATTAGGTCGGTGAGTGGTTTAACTACATAAAGTTGTTTTAAGTTGACTGCGATTTAGTTACAGGAAGCTCCAGGCGATAGGCTGTAGTGGTTTGGCTGTAGTGGTTTGGCTGTAGTGGTTTGGCTGTAGATGAAAGGATTGTTGGCTGTCGTAGACATTCCACTCTAGGACTGGTCTAAACGGTGAAGGGGATATGATGATGATATGAGCAACATATAAAACACGTGTTTGTGACTGAGCTCCACTCTGTTTATATAAATGCTAGGGTCAAGTCACCAACATAAAGTAACACTCAACTCAACGTTCGCATGTAATAAGAAAAGCTATCCTACACATAACTCTCAAAACACTGTTCTCATGTGATGAGAAAAGCTATCTTACACATAACACTCCACACAATGTTCTCATGTGATGAGAAAAGCTATCTTACACATAACACTCCACACAATGTTCTCATGGAATGAGAGAAGCTATCTTTACACATAACACTCCACACAATGTTCTCATGGAATAAGAGAAGCTATCTTATTAGAAATTTGACGCAAAATTTTAACGTGTGAACTGAAAAAAAGATTCGACTAAATTTCAAGTATAAAAGCCAACGTCTGTGACAATGTTGGACAAGGAGATCTCTGAAACAACAACTTTTATTGATATGATGGCAACCTTCCGAAGATTGGCGTCAGAGCCAGACATAATTGCCTCAGTCTTATCGTCATTGAATTTAAGTCTGTTTGATGACATCCATGTATTCACCACGAGACAGCAGTCCTCGACAGCCTGAAGAGCAGCAGAACAATCGAAAGGATCAGGGCGGAAACACTTGTACAGTTCTGTGCCATCCGAAAATAATTTGCGGGAAATACCATGACTTTCAATAATTCTGCCGAGCTGACTAGTGTATATGGAGAACAGAATAGGTCCTAAAACTGAGCCATGCGGCACGCCGCAGGTAACGGAAGTGTCCATGGAAGATGCCTGCTTCACTACAATACGCTGAGTCAGTCAGATAAGAAGAAAACAAGTGACGTGCAGTTCCAGAGATGCCCACCTCATTCAGAAGTCTTGACAGAAGAAGCCCATGGTCAATCATATTAAATGCAGTACTGAGGTCCAACAGGACCAATAGTGTCAGGAGGCCGCGGTCAGCACTGAGGTCCAACAGGACCAATAGTGTCAGATCGCCGCGGTCAGCATTACAACAAACAACATCATTCATGACACTGAGCAGTGTTGTCTCACAGCTATTTTCGTTATTACTACGACTGTTGTCTCGTAAGTCTTTGTTAAGACATGAAAGACACGTCATTTCTCGGTCGACGGGTTTTTGTTTTTGTTTACTACGTCATTTCTATTCCGTGATCCGGCAACTGCCTGCTCAGTTCAGCGAATTGGATTCGTAGACCCACCCATTTCGCTGACTCCGTCTTTTCCGTTTATTAGAAATCAATGTAATCTCCAGGCCTACGTCACTTAATGTCCGTCGATAGGATATTATTCTAAAATGGTTCAAGTGTATCATTGTAGTTCCTGTTAGCGGGAGCCTCTTGAAGCCCACACCGTCCTATGACCTAGGACCGATGGATTCCCCAACTCACGTTGAGTGGCAGGGAAATACCCTGGTTATTTCTTTGAATGTATCCTGTTATACAGATTCTCTCATACTATTTAACATGTATATCTTCATATAGAGGTTATGTACAGATTCTCTCATTCTATTTAACAAGTGTATCCTCATATAGAGGTATTGTACCAAGTGTATCATTGTAGTTCCTGTTAGCGGGAGCCTCTTGAAGCCCACACCGTCCTATGACCTAGGACCGATGGATTCCCCAACTCACGTTGAGTGGCAGGGAAATACCCTGGTTATTTCTTTGAATGTATCCTGTTATACAGATTCTCTCATACTATTTAACATGTATATCTTCATATAGAGGTTATGTACAGATTCTCTCATTCTATTTAACAAGTGTATCCTCATATAGAGGTATTGTACCGATTCTCTCATTCTAAAGTATATCCTCATATAGAGGTATTGTACCGATTCTCTCATTCTAAAGTGTATCCTCATATAGAGGTATTGTACCGATTCTCTCATTCTAAAGTGTATCCTCATATAGAGGTATTGTACCGATTCTCTCATTCTAAAGTATATCCTCATATAGAGGTATTGTACCGATTCTCTCATTCTAAAGTGTATCCTCATATAGAGGTATTGTACCGATTCTCTCATTCTAAAGTATATCCTCATATAGAGGTATTGTACCGATTCTCTCATTCTAAAGTGTATCCTCATATAGAGGTATTGTACCGATTCTCTCATTCTAAAGTGTATCCTCATATAGAGGTATTGTACCGATTCTCTCATTCTAAAGTATATCCTCATATAGAGGTATTGTACCGATTCTCTCATTCTAAAGTGTATCCTCATATAGAGGTATTGTACCGATTCTCTCATTCTAAAGTGTATCCTCATATAGAGGTATTGTACCGATTCTCTCATTCTAAAGTGTATCCTCATATAGAGGTATTGTACCGATTCTCTCATTCTAAAGTGTATCCTCATATAGAGGTATTGTACCGATTCTCTCATTCTAAAGTATATCCTCATATAGAGGTATTGTACCGATTCTCTCATTCTAAAGTATATCCTCATATAGAGGTATTGTACCGATTCTCTCATTCTATTTAACATGTATATTCTCATATAGAAGTATGCATATAAGTTTTGGTTACATTGAAATCAGAGGTGAAACTGTCGTTTCTGAGTCAAAGCTTTTTTTCTTCTTTAAAAGTCGGTGCAAAGTTCATGAACTTTCAAACTAAAATATAAGAATAGCTATTTCCCCCTAAAAACACCCACTTTTTTCGGCATCACGAGACCCCAGTCTTTGACCTACATTCGCGTGGGTCTAGCAGCCCATGTTTTCTATCTCTTGTAGCAACCCGTGTTTGGTATCACTTTTAGCAACCCATGTTTTCTACCATCTGTAGAAGCACATGTTTGCTATCACTTGTAGAAGCACATGTTTGCCATCACTTGTAGCAGTCCATGTTTGCTACTTGTAGCAACCCATATTTTCTACCACATGCAGCAGCCCATTTTTTCTATCACTTGTAGGAGTCAATGTTTGCTATCACTTGTACAAGTCCAGGTATGAAATCAACTCAAGTTTTCTATATTGGTTGTTAAAAGATCAGCTTTGGAGTCCAATGAGCAATGTACCAAAAACCTTTGAGAACCACTGTTCTAGAATGTGGCCATTATGTTAACATTCTTTTTGTCAGACAGGCGCAAGGTTGTGAAAAAATATAGAATTAACACTACCAAAAGAATTAACACAACCACAAGAATTAACACAACCAAAAGAATTAACACAACCACAAGAATTAACACAACCACAAGAATTAACACAACCGCAAGAATTAACACAACCACAAGAATTAACACAACCACAAGAATTAACACAACCAAAAGAATTAACACAACCACAAGAATTAACACAACCGCAAGAATTAACACTATCAAAAGAATTAACACAACCACAAGAATTAACACTACCAAAAGAATTAACACAACCACAAGAATTAACACAACCGCAAGAATTAACACTATCAAAAGAATTAACACAACCGCAAGAATTAACACTATCAAAAGAATTAACACAACCACAAGAATTAACACTATCAAAAGAATTAACACAACCACAAGAATTAACACTACCAAAAGAATTAACACAACCACAAGAATTAACACAACCACAAGAATTAACACAACCACAAGAATTAACACTACCAAAAGAATTAACACAACCACAAGAATTAACACAACCACAAGAATTAACACAACCACAAGAATTAACACTACCAAAAGAATTAACACAACCACAAGCATTAACACAACCACAAGAATTAACACAACCAAAAGAATTAACACAACTAAAAAAATTAAGTCACACAATTTTTTCATTTATTCAATTTCTTGTGTCCAACCTAGAAATAAGACAACAGCATAGAACAGAGGATTGCCACATAAGTCATGGGAAACATCAAAACAATGGCAGGAATATTATAAAAAGGGAAAGTAAAGTCTTTAAATAAAACATGTTGATATGGAGTTCAGCACTATACTATGCATCAATCTGGTAACATATCCTTTTAAAATGTAATGAATGAAATTCCTTCATAGCATTATTCCTCCCCCCCCCCCCCACCCCCGAAACCATAAATGTCTCATGTTGTTCACTGATGAATCTTCCCTTTGTTCAGATGAAAGGTCCATCATGCAGCGCCTTGAGCTTCATTTCAAACAACTTATCGGCTTCCCTCTCTGCTATCATCATGTTTTCTAGGTCCTTCAACTTGTCAGAGAGTGATGGTGTCGAGAGTTTCTCTGTCACTGTGGTCCTCAGATCTTGTTTTGGCTGTGATCCTTTCATCTTGGCTGACATGTTATTGGCTGTTGCCACATGCCTTGCAGTGATCCTGGGTGTCCCCAGCAAAATAGAATCTTGAGCCTCGCCAGATCGGCCAGATTGCCGGGACCTCGGCAAGTTTTCATCAACTTCCTGTGACCGAGCCCTTGTAAGTGGTGTGATGTTGGAGGTAATGGGTGTGATGTTGGAGGTAAAGGGAAATAATCCCGGCCCTGCCTCATGTTGAGCCCCTGATAGGCTTGGATCCTCCAAGAAAGACGTTAAAGATTGTTCATATTTGTATGAGGCCTCTCGTTCTTTCCTGTAATGTTCTTTTAATGTTTCCCAACTTGAAGTTGAAGCTTGAAAACTTGCATCTTGGACTGAAAATCAGATGGAAATCGTTGATAAAAAATAATTAGATCGCAATTATTGATAAAAATATTTAGATCGCAATCTTTGATAAAAAATAATTAGATGGCAATCTTTGATAAAGAAAAAACAATTAGATCGCAATCTTTGATTTTTTTTTAAATTAAATTTTTGAAAGAATACGCTTCCAATTTAATGGAAATATTTAATAAAAAAATGAACAATTACAAAAAAAAAGATTGCATTTTCAAACCCTTTTCTAGACCAGGTAACACCAATGAGAATATTTGAATTGAAAGGATGTGAAACAGTTCATTGTTGTCTTCAATGGTTGGATATCATTCTTAAAAACTCCAAAGTCCCAAGATAGAATGTTGATCAACACAACATGGTGTAAATAAATAGCATGAGTAGCACCACACCTCCCTTGAACATAGAGTGGTGATCACAGATTTGGTGACAAGGTAACAGAATGGATGACATGCTCATAGGCTGAGTGACATGCTCATAGACTGAGTGACATGGTCATAGACTGAGTGACAGGGTCATAGACTGAGTGACATGGTCATAGACTGAGTGACATGCTCATAGGCTGAGTGACATGGTCATAGGCTGAGTGACATGGTCATAGGCTGAGTGACAGGGTCATAGACTGAGTGACATGGTCATAGACTGAGTGACATGGTCATAGACTGAGTGACATGGTCATAGACTGAGTGACATGCTCATAGGCTGAGTGACATGGTCATAGACTGAGTGACAGGGTCATAGACTGAGTGACAGGGTCATAGACTGAGTGACATGGTCATAGACTGAGTGACAGGGTCATAGACTGAGTGACAGGGTCATAGACTGAGTGACATGCTCATAGGCTGAGTGACATGGTCATAGACTGAGTGACAGGGTCATAGACTGAGTGACATGGTCATAGACTGAGTGACATGCTCATAGACTGAGTGACATGGTCATAGACTGAGTGACATGATCATAGACTGAGTGACAGGGTCATAGACTGAGTGACATGGTCATAGACTGAGTGACATGGTCATAGACTGAGTGACATGGTCATAGACTGAGTGACAGGGTCATAGACTGAGTGACAGGGTCATAGACTGAGTGACAGGGTCATAGACTGAGTGACAGGGTCATAGACTGAGTGACAGGGTCATAGACTGAGTGACAGGGTCATAAACTGAGTGACAGGGTCATAAACTGAGTGACAGGGTCATAGACTGAGTGACAGGGTCATAGACTGAGTGACAGGGTCATAGACTGAGTGACAGGGTCATAGACTGAGTGACAGGGTCATAAACTGAGAGACATGGTCATAGACTGGGTGACAGGGTCATAGACTGAGTGACAGGGTCATAGACTGAGTGACAGGGTCATAGACTGAGTGACAGGGTCATAAACTGAGTGACAGGGTCATAGACTGAGTGACAGGGTCATAGACTGAGTGACAGGGTCATAAACTGAGTGACATGGTCATAGACTGGGTGACATGGTCACAGACTGAGTGACAGGGTCATAAACTGAGTGACAGGGTCATAGACTGAGTTACATGGTCACAGACTGAGTGACAGAGTCATACAGTGACATGGCCATTGACCCCCAGCCTCCAATAACTTCTGCCTCCAAGTCATTCACAACTAACACAACAATGTGTAGTTAAAAACTGTTGTAGACAAGTTATCAAACTAAAAATTTAAACAAAATAAATGTTAAAATCTGTGACAGTACCTCCTGGTGCCTTGTTTGTGGTCAGGTTGACATCTGTCAGAGCTGCAACAGTACCTCCTGTTGCCTTGTTTGTGGTCAGGTTGACATCTCCCAGGTAAGACTTGCAAGAAGTTTTAAGTTTGGAAGCTGCTTTCAGGACTGTTGGTTTTATTTGGCCTTTTTCTGCCAAGAATAAAAATAAAGCGTAAGGAAAATGTAATTAAATTTCAAATTGGTTTTGAATAAGCCACAAAGTTAATTTTGTCTTGTACATATATTTATCAATGACTCTTACAGAATTTCAGCCATAACATGTTTGGCTCTCCAAGTTCTTAATAATTGTATTAGTGTTTAACAATGAGGTACCATAAGACAAAAATAGCTGTCTCTATATCTCTCATGACATCCAGCCAAGCTATGCTGTCTCTTTCTCTCATGTCATCCACCCTAGCTATACTGTCTCTATCTCTCATGGCATCCAGCCAAGCTATACTGTCTCTACCTCTCATGTCATCCAGCCAAGCTATGCTGTCTCTACCTCTCATGGCATCCAGCCAAGCTATACTGTCTCTTTCTCTCATGGCATCCAGCCAAGCTATACTGTCTCTATCTCTCATGGCATCCAGCCAAGCTATACTGTCTCTACCTCACATGTCATCCAGCCAAGCTATACTGTCTCTATCTCTCATGGCATCCAGCCAAGCTATACTGTCTCTATCTCTCATAGTATCCACCCAACCTATACTGTCTCTATCTCTCATGGCATTCAGCCAAGCTATACTGTCTCTATCTCTCATGGCATTCAGCCAAGCTATACTATCTCTATCTCTCATGGCATCCAGCCAAGCTATACTGTCTCTATCTCTCATGGCATCCAGCCCAACCAGCACAAACCTGCTGTTTCTGTATCTTTCATGGCATCCAGCCAAGCTCCCGGTGGCTCCCAGTCTTCCAGTTCAAACTCCTGATAGTAAACCAAAATCTCTTCAAACTCTTCTTCCTCTGGTTCTTCGTTATCTTCAGATTCCTATGAAATTTAATTGTGAGAATGTAAATTATTTTGTGTATTTTAAAAATATAAACCCCAGCCCAAAACGATGATTACAGATAGTGAACAATAGCATGTTAGCAAAACTGAGCAGTATACAAAATTGTTTTAAATGTATTATAACAGCACTGACTGGTAAAGGGATATCTTTAAACCAGGCCTGTACAACTCAAAAGTTTTGAAAACTTATGGAAAAGTTTATGGAAAACTTGTGCGGGCCAAAAGAAAATAGGACAGGGTGGAAAGCTATTAAGAAAATAACAATCATAAAGAATATTTTGTTACTTCGCAGGCCTGCTTTAAACAACATATTGATGAATGTAAACACAAACTAATCTTATATCACACATAGTTCTTACTAATGGGTTAACAAATTAAATTATAATAATATAATTTTCACAGATATAATTATATGGGAGATAAGTAATATGGGATTTAATATATAGAGTATTGGAACTTGGAGAAAACTAGCCAATGAGAGGAGAGCAAGATGGAAACAAGAAATGGTGGAATATTATGACCGTTAAATTCACGAAGTTTGTGTAGGAAGTTTGAGCAGAAATAGTTTATGTTTTAAATGATTTGTAGTGTGATTACATTTTATCAAGTAAAGAAGTTTACTGAGAAGCTACATTCCAAGTTTTTTCAGATTTAGTATGTTCGGCATGAGGATTTGCTCGTATTTCAAGTATTAACTATTATTATAGTGATCGTGTGTAATAAAGTATTAGTCACTATTATTAATCATTTGAACCACTAGGCCTCTGTTTTGATTTACAAGATATTGTGATTTTGACAATAATCGTTAAGCAACATCTGGCTGTGTGAAGTTAATTTGATTAAACCATATATCAATGAGTCTTAAGCTGTAAGTTAACAATCAGTGCGTTACACGGCACTTCAAGATTTTAAAAAATTATATAAATTATGATTCCTAAAGTCAAGAGTGTGTAGACCAATAAGTCTATTAATTATTTGGCTTGTCAAGTATTATACCAGCAATGAAACAGTAAAAGACGGTTAATTTTTTTATTTAAACTTCAATATTAAAAGATTCATTATAGTTTTCGCTCGTCCCAACAATAATAATTAATATATTTTATGATCAATAGACTTTTAATTATAAATATCAAGTATTAACATTTTTTAAGTGTTAATTGTTTTTTTTCTTCTAAAAAAAGTTTTTAAATACCATAAACATCAATATCAAAACGTGTTCTATAATGTGATTACTTCGGGTGATTTCCTGGCCGACTTACAGGTTTTGGTAAACAGATGTGTCCAGTTCTCAGTGAAAAAAGTTTGTAATGGATGCAGGCATCCACCAGATCTGTCCAGGTCATATTGACATATGTGGGTTCACATGGACCATCCACCAACGACAGCCAGCAGAACTGATCAAAGTTTTTCTTAGCTTTTGAGAGCAACATTGCAACCCTGAGTGAAGACATAAGAAAGTAAGCACTCAACCGTAGCATCTGTGACTTAGTTGTCCCAAATAATGGCCAGAGTTTGGCTATTACATTCTTCTGTTCCAATACATTTCAGATACAATAAATAATACCGTTAGACATTTAATCGGACTCTGAAGTTTTATATTGTATTCTTTATACATAATAATTGTAAAACTTACTCTTGATGTAAATGTATCTTGGCAGACCCACTGTCTTTTTTAGTGAGTCTCTCAATGTAAGACCAGACATCCTGACACATGGTTGACCAGCTGTCTGAGTCAAGGTCGCTGTAATGGAACCTGGGCAGTCTCATTTTGGCAATGAGCTCATAAAGGTCAGAGAGGTGAGATTCTGTGTTCCATGAGGCCTGGAGCTCCACTGAAGAAAGTTTGTTAACACACACAGAGTTCAAGGACAGATTCAGATATTTAAACATATTTTTTTAAAGTTTATGTTGACCTCATTTTTGTTTAAATATAACAATAATATAATTATTGTAACATATTAATTATGAAGCAAAAAAATTTGATATAAAAAAAGCTGGAAAAAAACTTAGTGAAACAATAGATTGGCATTTTAGTACAATTTCAGTGAAAACAAATGTTCATACATATTTTAACCATTCATTTCTGGGTGCTCAAAATTGTATCATTTGAAACCCTAGTCAAAGGAGAACATCTCCAATTGTAGATAGGTTTAGAAAAAAAAAGTTTAAATCTATTTTGAAATATATTTCTATGAACAAAATTGATCAGCATTCATAATTGGTTGCTTTACGCTTTGTATTACATAATTTCCCAAAAGCTTTTGTTTTTTTAATTCCTAAATGTCAAACTATGATGAACTACTTGACTATTCCTGATCATAAAAATATTTTAAAAATTAATTTGCTATTATAATAATGAACACTCCTCACCATTGGTAAAATAAAAAAATAGTGAAATTTCATTTAAAATAGCGAGATTTCCGTTTTCTGTATAGCGATATGAATTCAATATGTCGAGTGGCCAGATTTGGCAGTTAAGGGGTTGAATCAGTACCAGCTGAAATTTGGTCATTACAGGATTGTATGGGCTGAATGTGGTGTAGAACTCCCTTAACCTCCAAATGATTATTTAACTTGAATTAGGCTGATTAGTTTAACTTTATTTCTATCTTTTAAGCTAATTTATTGTTACTTGCCTGCTGATGAAGGTGACAAGTTTTATGATTATAGTTACATTTAGCAAAGTCTCTGTTTTTATTCACCTTTCTCCCTGTAACCTTCGAATTCTGGTGCTGGCCACGACATGTCAGTGAGAGAGCTGGATGCTGATACCATTGCCACATGCTCTATGACTTCATTGTACAGAGATATCAATGTGTTGGGAGACTGGAGATAAACATGTTTACACATTTATAAGCATCTTGTCACAAACATCTTGTCACAAACATCTTGTCACACCAACAAACATCTTGTCAGAAACATCTCAAACACTAGCACACCAATAAACATCTTATCACAAACATCTCAAACACTAGCACACCAATAAACATCTTATCACAAACATCTCAAACACTAGCACACCAATAAACATCTTATCACAAACATCTCAAACACTAGCACACCAATAAACATCTTATCACAAACATCTCAAACACTAGCACACCAATAAACATCTTGCCACAAACATCTTGTCACAAACATCTTGCCACAAACATCTTGTCACAAACATATTGTCACAAACATCTTGTCACAAACATTTTGTCACAAACATTTTGCCACAAACATCTTGTCACAAACATCTTGCCACAAACATCTTGTCACAAACATATTGTCACAAACATCTTGTCACAAACATATTGTCACAAACATCTTGTCACAAACATTTTGTCACAAACATCTTGCCACAAACATCTTGCCACAAACATCTTGTCACAATAATCTTGTAACAAACATCTCAAAAACTAACACACCAACAATCATCTTGTCACAAACATCTCAAACACTAGCACACCATCATAGCTCTTGACACTCAGAAGTTAGCTAGACATGTCATTTATGATAAGTCCCAATACTTTTCCACACATATTGTTTAAAAATGATATCAAGTTCAATTATGTTCCATTATAATTAAGGATATCGGTGTTGTTGTTTCTCAGCTTGAAGGCAACATGAGCCAATGATAATTGAACAGGACCCAAGGACATATTCTCATATTTGTTGTTCCTAAAAGGACATAAGAGCCCCAGTTTGGATGGCCAGCAATATGACATTCTTGTATGGGTTTATGCAAGAGGGCATTATTAAATATTTTACATTAACTTTGCTTTTGATCGTGCTTGTTCTGGCTGGGTGGCAAAATCTTCATATGGCTAATTGACCCACTTCTCATCAACCTATCGAGCTGAAACTTGGCACATAGACTCATTGCCAATGACAACAAATTCTATAAATTTTCCGTCCCAATCCCCAAAAATCAGTTTTTCTTGTTTTTTAAGGGGAAGATGAAGGAAATATGATGCCACTGTTTCACGAAATAAAACTCCAGATAACTGCGATAAATGAGATTCTTAAAAATATCCCAAGTGCATTTGGTGCGTAATATTTTCTTTTGCTTTTCTGAAATAGTTGGTGAAATAAATCTGTTGTGTGAAAGTGTAAAATAAAATAATAAAAAATGCATTTAAAGGATTGAAATGAAAAACTTTGTTTTTATGGGGGGGGGGGGGTTGTTTAATTTTAGTTTGTAAAATGTCTGAAATAGTTGGTGAAATAAATCTGTTGTGTGAAAGTGTAAAATAAAATAATAAAAAATGCATTTAAAGGATTGAAATGAAAAACTTTGTTTTTATGGGGGGGGGGGGTTGTTTAATTTTATGTTGTAAAATGTCTGACCTGATGCAGCATTTGATGTTTTTTTCTGGTGCGAAGATCTTGATACACTGTTGCCTTGTAGAACTCAACCACAGCATCTTCTACATAGTCTGATACTGGCTTGACTCTGAGCTTCGGTGGGACAGGAATGTTGCCGACAGCAAATCTCAAACTGTTGGTCAACTATGAGGCAGGGATATTTAAACATTTAGATGTGACATTCAATTGTGAGAAATTAAATCAGTTAATTATAATAGCTTATTCTAAGAACACATTGTAAATACTGGTCCTCATTTTAAATATTGGTTTACAACTATACAAGGTGTTTGTACAAATGGTTAGAGGTCAAAGTAATGTGCTTATTGCTTGTTAAACTAAGAAAAATAATTTCAGTTTGGTCAAACCTGACTGGTCCAGTCCTCATAATTATCCAGTATTTCCTGGTCACTGACCACGGGTTGTGCCACATGGACAGCGGACACAAGGTTTTGTTGGTACAGACTGGCCAAACCGAGACACTCATCCAAGATTTTTAAGGAAATTTGGTTCTCTTTAGTCAGTCTGGGCATCATAATAACCAACGGCAGAGCTGGTTCTTTTCGTTTCTGTTTTAGAATTTGATTTAAACGCTTTCTGTCGTTGTTCCAAGTTATTTCCTGTCGGAGGAATGAATTTAAAAAGTGTTTGTCATACATGTATGACTCTAACTAATCAATTTTCAAACAGTAAGCCATCTAACAAGAAAATTAGTTACAATAAGTAATACATCTTTTTATTATAAGCTGGTAATACCTTTGTTTTTATCAACACCTGTAAAGAAATTTGTATAAAAATGTGACATGTCATGTCACTGTGACATCTCACATGTCACTGTTTTAACCAGCTAAAGCTGCTATATGTTTTGTAAATAAATGAAAACAGCAAAAATACTGTTACAAAGTCTATAAACAAAATTGTTTTTTAACATTGATTCTGTGTTAAATTTAATACTTCAACTAGACTAGGGCCAGTACATCCATAGAGTTAAATCTTACGCTCAGTGAAGTGTTGTTTGTTAAAAGCATTTCTACTGGAGATGACAAAAACAGCAGAGCACTGGAGCCTTTCAAGACATCTTCCTTCAGTACATTCAGCTCCTGATCCTCTGTCCACACTCCTTGGAAACATCTGACACACAGGGCAGAGTGTGAGCCAGATCCTACAGATGGCTTCATTTGGCAGACACTCAGTACCTGGCCCTGGGAGAGGGACACGGTAACATACAGAAATTAGGTTGGAAACATCTGCACAGATAATAAACAAATGTGTACATAAATCTAAGAGAATTTCAACCAAGGATGTGACATTAGTTCAAGGTCTGTAATCAGCACTGATATATGATATACTTTATGCAGCAGTATTTTTATTAGAAACACAATTTCCTGAGGGAAGGGGTTGCTCAATCATAGTCTTGTGAACAATTATTTCTGATTCATCATTTCTGTCCACATAGGAAACAAAATATGTATTCCTGTTGTTAGCGAGTATGAATAAAAGTCAACATATGCAGAGTATCTGTTTCAGACTTGTCATGGAAACTTAAAAGTGAAAATGAGACATGTATGTATTTATCAAACAAACTATGTTGTCATAGCAACCTACAGGTCAAGACTTTAACACTGGACAAGCTCACCTCAAAGTTTTCACTACATTCAAGTGTGTGTGTGTAGTCTATTATAAAATAGACAATATGTTTGTTTGAAAAGATAAATTAAATGTCTAACCTCATACGATGGTGACTTGACAACTTTAGCTCTGTTACCATCTTTACACAGCTTGGCTTTTATCCATTGTAAAAAAGTCTCTACATCATCAGAAGCATCACAAGGCAGAGAGACCAACAACTTCCACTGTGCTGCCACTGTGTCTTGTTCTTAACACACAAGACAACCATTGTTAACATGCTGGACATTAGGTCAAGCAACAAGGTCAACATTCAACAGCAAATGAGAGGCACTAAAATAACTCTGTTAAATTTGACTGGCATGTATGTGTGACTCAGATTGCCTTTGATGTTAAGAAAGAAAAGTGCACACATTTGAACTGGGATGAACAGCCGTCTTAATAAAGGGTGAAAGATCTGATAAACGTATCCACAATACATCGGACAGAATCAGAACCAGCATGAAGATAAGTAAAATGGTCTAGATTGATTTTAACGGGCGAACAAACTACATCAGTCGTTCATGTGGTTCATTTCCCATGGTGGTCAAGACAAACCTTGAGTCTCTAGACCAAGACAAATTATTGATTTATTTTATTGTTACTATCACCTACATACTGTCTCGTCTTCCCACACGAAAAATTAAAACTGTATTGGGCATTGTGGATATTCCTATTAACTTTAACATGTGTACCCTATTTCCAGCCAGAGACTTTAATAAAAGTCTGAATTAATAAAGTTAGTTTTATTTCCTTTTATATGATATCCAAAAATGAACCAAATGTCTTCATTCTTTGTTCTCCAAAACCACATGCTCCCACCGGTGCCCCTGGAGAGCTGAAGGGGTGTGCAAGGGAGTTGGCATTGCCCTGGAGAGCTGAAGGGGTGTGCAAGGGAGTTGGCATTGCCCTGGAGAGCTGAAGGGGTGTGCAAGGGAGTTGGCATTGCCCTGGATTTAACATCTTAAATATTAATCATAAGGGGACTGCATTCAAGTAAAGCATGACTTCTCAACAAGAACTCTCCACCTTCAGCACAGTTTTACCAATGAGTGATTCCTCTTTCCAATTCTGATAAGCTCTTTGTAGCTGAGGTCCGACTGTAGCTTCCAGGTCTAATGGTCGCCACAGTAACAAGTTGCAGAGCATTTTAATGGCTGAAGCCATGGACAATCGTGTGCTTAACTGCAGTTGCTGGCGAATGACTTCCATAGGAGACTCAATGCTCAGTTTTACCCTGTCAGATCAAAAGAGTTTTAATTTCCATGTTATTTGTAAATATATATTGTTGTGAACTAGGGGGAGTTGTTGATCGTGAGAGTGTTTTGTGAGTTGTAAGTCGTGAGGTCAGACCGTGAAATTGGTTCGTGGTGTTAAGCTTTAGTGTATGCCGAGTGCTTTGTTGGGATATTAAAGGGCAGTGTGTTAGTTAGTGGGGAGTTAAGTTAGAGAAGCAAGAGGGTCAAGAGTTGTGAGAGTCGAGAGTCCAGAGTAGATCGTCCAGAGTTAGAGTTAGAGTTGAGAGTCCAGAGTAGATCGTCCAGAGTTAGAGTTAGAGTCGAGAGTCCAGAGTAGATCGTCCAGAGTTAGAGTTAGAGTCGAGAGATATTGTAATTTATGTTAGATCCGCTGTAGGGCTTGTTGCCTGAGGATAGTATTTTTCTCCTGGATGAATTATGTAGCAACTGTGTTAGGTAATAAATGGATGTTTTAGCACATGGAAATAAATACATAATTTAAATTGGACTATTCAGCGTTTGAGTTACTTGACCAAGACTGAGACGAGAATTAAAGTATTCGCCATCGGAGGTAGTAGACAAACAAAAGAAGGCCATAACATTTGAACCGATTATTCGACAACGAAGGAATGCTGTAACAACATATTTTTTTTAAAACAGGTATAAGAGATATGCTATTATTGTTGTGCTTATATGACTTGCCTCATCAAAAAATTGGACATTGTCATGAAATTCAAATAGTAATTTTAAGTCTTCCTTTAGGACACACTCACACTACAATCTACCTTTAGGACACACTCACACTACAGTCTACCTTTAGGACACACTCACACTACAATCTACCTTTACGACACACTCACACTACAATCTACCTTTAGGACACACTCACACAACAATCTACCTTTAGGACACACTCACACTACAGTCTACCTTTAGGACGCACTCACACTACAGTCTACCCTTAGGACACACTCACACTACAATCTACCTTTAGGACACACTCACACTACAATATACCTTTAGGACACACTCACACTACAATCTACCTTTAGGACACACTCACACTACAATCTACCTTTAGGACACACTCACACTACAATCTAACTTTCATTAGAAATTCCAGGAAAATAGGACACTGGTGAACTACATTACAATATATAACATCGTTAAATTGTTATATAGCTCTGAACATTGCAAGCATCTTGAATGAACACCCCACACCGCCCTCCCCCCTCTCCCGCACCCCCCACATCCCCCCAATCTTGTGACTTTACCTATGACCAATGTAGAAAGCCTTTTGTGAGATTCTTTGATCTGATCTGCCTGGAACCAGCTGCCTAAGTTGTTCAGCAACAGTTCTTGAGGGGGGAGCACTTGGGAAATCCAACATTGAACGTTTCACTTTCATTCTTCTCTGGTAGCTCTTTCTCCAGGACTAGAACAGTGAAAAGTATTGTAGTTCATTTTTAAATTATAGCTATGAATATATGAATGGCAATGCATATTTAAATTATAGCTATGAATATATGAATAACACTTCATATGTAAATTACACTTATGAATTAATGAATGACGTGCTTACCATGTGAAAAAGTGAATCACGTGATTTTTGTGTTATATATAAAATTTGATTGAAATATCTACATTTTGTTCTCCCATTTATTTTTAAAAAATAGATTCAAAGTATTCCCCCCACCCAACCCCTCTGTAGTGAGTGAATAAGAAAACCGAGCCCAAGTATTTCCTCCTATGTTTATTCTTCAATAATTTAAGGGGTGAAAAAATCTAGAAAAAAATATTTTCCTTGAATCATTTGAAGCAACCTCTTACAAATTTAAATGAAATAAAGTGATAACCCAAGTCTTTGGCTATATGTCATGTGACTGAATTGAAATATTTCCTGCAGATGGTAGAGTGTCCTCAGCATGAAACTATTTTTTACATCATAAAATATGGCCTGGGACAGGAGGGGGCCACTGTGGTCAATTAATTTATTAGCTTCTGGCAGGAACGGTGGCTTATTTCCCTCTTAATTAAAGGCAAGGATTGTAAGCTGATTTACACAGGAAGGAACAAGTGAACTACCTGAAAGAACTTTCGGCACACACCCAGTTGCACACATCTCTCTGTGGCCTCCAGTCTTTCCTGTTTAGCCACAACATCCACCTGGTAGACCTCATGAGCAATGTCCAGTAGCATATCTTCTAACCCCTTGCTGACCAGCTCATCTCTGCATGTCTGACTTGCCCTCTCTAACGACTGGGCCTTGAGTTCAGCTTGAACTAATCTGATACAAGACAATAACAAAAAAGTTGTCAAAATAGAACGATTGACTAACTTGTACAAATGCATGAAAAAATGGACTTGTTTGGATATCTCTATTGTACGTTATCTAGTTACCAGGCACCAGGCAACCAAGTTCTTAAAATTAAACTCTAAACCAAATTGTATAATTGCATAGAACAAGTGGATGAAGTCTAGATATCTGCCATGGGTAAACAGCTTAGTTAAGTACAACATGTCTTCCCCCCCCCCCCCCCAAACCAAGTTCTTAAAATTAAACTCTAAACCAAATTGTATAATTGCATAGAACAAGTGGATGAAGTCTAGATATCTGCCATGGGTAAACAGCTTAGTTAAGTACAACATGTCTTCCCCCCCCCCCCTCCACACACACACAAATGATTAACCACCATCTAAAGCCCATATTTTAATCCACCTCATTTCATCCTGGGCCAGGATCTTGACCATCTCAGACATGGTGTCATCAGTAATGTCTTGACAAAGCATGTCAAAGACTCGCTGCCTCTGCTGAGCCATTTCTACTTCTAGAGCTTTCCTCAAAATACATTCTTCTTGCTCGTAAACTTCTCTGGCCAACTGCCTGGAAACCAAAAATTAAACATGATGTTTGCATAAGAGTAAAATAAATTAGTTCCACAAGATGTGCACATTCAACTACAACAGATGTGCCTGTGTGTTATATCCAACATGCAAAAGTCATGTCTGAAACAGGATTAACTAAGCAGCATAAGCAAACAACAAGCTTAGGTTGTCATGGCAAACATTAGAGTCCCTCTTTCCATTTCCCTAGCACTGCAAAGAAACATTGTCTACAAAATATTAAACCTTCAACAGTAGTGGTTTCTGTTGATTTCTAGTCATAAGATTGAAAGAGAACATTTTAGAGTTTAGTTACCCTAAGCATTCTGTAACAGTGATACCTTTAACTTACCCTAAGCATTCTGTAACAGTAAGACTATTAACTTACCCTAAGCATTCTGTCACAGTGTAACTAACAATATCATCAACATGTGCCATGAGGGTGATGTTGTACTCTCTCTGAACAGCAAGAACCTCCTGAGCAATATCAGTGCTACTGGAATCAATCACTTCTAGAATCAGCATCCTGGCAATGCTCTTGATGACCTGGATGCAAAGGTCAATGGTTCATGAAACCTCATAGGTTGTCACTTAAGTCTCATCAAGTGAATAAACTATTTTTTTAAACAATGAAAATCATTTTGAATATGGCTGACCAAATCTAACCCAATGTTAAAGTCTCACTGCTATAGGGCGACTAAATTTAGCCAGTCAAATCTCGGGTGATAAATATTATATTAATGTTGTTTCCCACCTCATTTGATGCTGTGAGTTTTTCCCTTCTCATCTCTGGCACAAGACGAAGTGAAGCACTCCTTTCATCTGGACTGTGGGTTTGACTGTGAGCAGACTCCTCCCTCGAGTTGGCCTGCTCACTGATTGGCTCAGAAGTTGAGCTCACAATAGTTTTAGAGCCCAAGAGACCACTGGATGCTGCAATGGGGAAGGAAAATTAAAGATTTCAAAATTATAGTTGCTGGAATTTTGAAAATTTCTTCCAAATTTCTGGGCTCTGAAGTCCACTGCAATTGGTAGTAACGAGGAGGGGGTTGGATAAAAGGTTTAACAGGTGAATGAGAACATGATGTTCATGCCATGTGGGGTTATGGTTGGTCATAGGGATACAAAACATAGCTGAACCTCAACATCAGTGCTAACATTATTTATTGACCCCCCCCCCCACTTGCCAATACAACTGGATTAAAAGAAGATTACATCAGTTTTAATATGAAGTTATCTCCCAAGTTCGTACATAATAAATTTTACATACAATGTAAATATCTAGAAATAATAATTTTTTTTAAAGTTAAAATTTCTGTATTCTCCCATTGAAAGTGAGCAAAGACTTTAATGAACATTAAACTTAAGGTGACAGCCAAAGAAATAGAAAATATTAAAATAATCACAGGTCTTACGAATGAAAGGAGTTTTCGTACTGACCAAGAGCCTCTTGAATGTCATGTGACATTACGAAGCCACCGTCAGGATCAAAACTGCCAGCAGGAGTTGAAATGTCTAGTTGTGGCAGAGGTCCTCCATTTAATGTCTGGGGAAATATTGTACAACCAAACGTTTGACACTACGACTACTGATACTAATAATAATATAGCCATTTGTTGGCCTGTTGTATGCCATTTTGTGACGGGACGTAAATTAAATAACTTCAATGCCAAAAATGTTACCATTTTTTTTGTTCAATATCTGCCATCTTATTTTAATATTACGAAATTTAAAGATAAGATTAGATATGATAAGATGCTTATATTGATCCAAATATGGAAATTTGTTTTGACTGCATTGCACATCTTGTTTTCAGTCTTGAAAGTCTTTGAGTTTTTTGTAGTTCCTTATAATATGTACCTAGCAAGGTGTTAGCAAATCATTGTTCAGTCTAAACAGCTGCTGGGTTCTTGAGTGAACTTTGGCATTTTGAGCAGTCTGGGCTTTTTGTTTAAAAATGAACAAAATATTATCATTCCTGCAGTGCTATGAAAACCCTGCCTGACACTTGGTGAACAATTCAAATCAGCTTAAACTCAAATTGTTTAACCCACCCAACCCACAACCCCCCCCCCCCCCTTTTTTTTTTTACACTGATTCTTTAACCTCTATCAATGAAAAAGATTCTTATTGCTTACCTCCCCTACACTGACTGTTTGTTTGACCTCAATCAATGACTGCGATCGTTTCTGTGGAATGGCTGACTCTGGTTCCAGGTAAGCCTTAGAGTCCATGACAACATCGCTGCCTTCAGTGGCTAAACAGTAGTGATCACAGAAGTCAACAACCTCCTTGCTATCTTCAAAACACAGCAGGCGTATCATTTCTTCAATAGGGTACTGTACAAAGACAAAACAAAGCAAGCGTATGATTGTACTGAAGAAGACACAAAACAAAGCAAGCGTATGATTGTAGTGAAGAAGACACAAAACAAAGCAAGCCTATGATTGTACTGAAGAAGACACAAAACAAAGCAAGCGTATGATTGTACTGAAGAAGACACAAAACAAAGCAAGCGTATGATTGTACTGAAGAAGACACAAAACAAAGCAAGCGTGTGATTGTAGTGAAGAAGACACAAAACAAAGCAAGCGTGTGATTGTAGTGAAGAAGACACAAAACAAAGCAAGCGTATGATTGTACTGAAGAAGACACAAAACAAAGCAAGCGTATGATTGTACTGAAGAAGACACAAAACAAAGCAAGCGTATGATTGTAGTGAAGAAGACACAAAACAAAGCAAGCGTATGATTGTACTGAAGAAGACACAAAACAAAGCAAGCGTGTGATTGTACTGAAGAAGACACAAAACAAAGCAAGCGTGTGATTGTAGTGAAGAAGACACAAAACAAAGCAAGCGTGTGATTGTAGTGAAGAAGACACAAAACAAAGCAAGCGTATGATTGTACTGAAGAAGACACAAAACAAAGCAAGCGTATGATTGTACTGAAGAAGACACAAAACAAAGCAAGCGTATGATTGTAGTGAAGAAGACACAAAACAAAGCAAGCGTGTGATTGTACTGAAGAAGACACAAAACAAAGCAAGCGTATGATTGTACTGAAGAAGATACAAAACAAAGCAAGCTTATGATTGTACTGAAGAAGACACAAAACAAAGCAAGCGTGTGATTGTAGTGAAGAAGACACAAAACAAAGCAAGCGTGTGATTGTACTGAAGAAGACACAAAACAAAGCAAGCATATGATTGTACTGAAGAAGACACAAAACAAAGCAAGCGTATGATTGTAGTGAAGAAGACACAAAACAAAGCAAGCGTGTGATTGTAGTGAAGAAGACACAAAACAAAGCAAGCGTATGATTGTACTGAAGAAGACACAAAACAAAGCAAGCGTATGATTGTAGTGAAGAAGACACAAAACAAAGCAAGCGTATGATTGTACTGAAGAAGACACAAAACAAAGCAAGCGTATGATTGTAGTGAAGAAGACACAAAACAAAGCAAGCGTATGATTGTAGTGAAGAAGACACAAAACAAAGCAAGCGTATGATTGTACTGAAGAAGACACAAAACAAAGCAAGCCTATGATTGTACTGAAGAAGACACAAAACAAAGCAAGCGTATGATTGTAGTGAGCAAGACAAAAAACATAGCAGACATATCATTGTACTGAACAAAAAACAAAACATTATAACATCTTATTATTTCTAACTGGGCAAGAAAAAAAGAATTAATCCTTTGAAGATTTTTATTAATAATTCTCTTTAATAGTCAGTGATTGAAATGATTTTTATTAATAATTCTCTTTAATAGTCAGTGATTGAAATGATTTTTATTAATAATTCTCTTTAAAAGTCAGTGATTGAAATGATTTTTATTAATAATTCTCTTTAATAGTCAGTGATTGAAATGATTTTTATTAATAATTCTCTTTAAAAGTCAGTGATTGAAATGATTTTTATTAATAATTCTCTTTAATAGTCAGTGATTGAAATGATTTTTCTTTGGCATATTCAGGAGAGGTTAAGTGACCTGTAGCATTTTCCAAAATAAATTATATAAGTATATATTTAGAGGACACTGGAGTTAAGATGATGAAATTTTTTTACTACTGAAAATTAACATCATTATTTATAGATCTGCCACTGATGGTGGCTCTAGTAAAAAAAAAACATAGGGACTTCTATGGAAGTTACAAACTGGTCTATGTATATAATTTTAACAGTAGTTGGTGCTCTAATAAATACTGAAACTCTAAAACTATGTAGATCTTGGCAAATTGGGCAACAAGTGTGAGGTTCTAACATGTTGATATTAAGGAAAAAAAAAGGACATTTTAAGTTTTATGTAAATCTGAGCACCAAACATTGTCCATACTGATACAAGAGAACAGACTTCTGTTATAAGAGAGCTAATTAAAACATACAGATTATAGTTATGACATATTATTCTAGACATGACCAAACTGCCCTGGACACAATCAATTACATACAGCTATAAACAACATTTTCAAAGATTCCCTATTAAACATGCATGACTAGACAGCTCTAGACACAACACTAACCATGACTCTATTTTTGCCAAGTGCTCCGAGTGCTTTCATGATGATGAGCAGAGCCTTGCTTCGAATCTGGTTAAAATAACGGTGCAGCACACAGCCGTTCAGGAAGGAAGCTTCTTGGAAAAGTCTGAAAAACCTGACGTAGTTATTTGAGTTGAGAGCATTGTAAGCTTTCACCGCAAAGCTGATCTGTGGGGAGTCCCTGATTTCTGGTCGTAGCTGCTGGATTTCTCTGTAAAATAAGAGAAAGTATTATTAAGTTTTATGTACGTAAACAAACAAACAGCATAAAAAAGGCCAAGCACAAAATGGCTGTTTATTTTTTTTATTTATTGCAGCGGTCTGAACTTGAATGAAATTTTTTAATACAAAAAAATTTTCTATTTTGACACTAGGATTTACACATGAACTTAACAAATCCTTGTCCAGTTCCAGTGGACCGTTGGGTTACACATGAACTTAACAAATCTTTGTCTAGTTCCAGTAGAGTGTTGTGTTGCTGCTGATCTGAAAAAGATTTGTTTGTCCATTGGAATAGCTTCTAATGTCCATAAAGGCTTCTTACACACAGAAAATTGATATCTGGTTAGTGCTGTTGTAAACCTTTTATCGTTCCCAAGCGATAGACATGGTCCTGCGCGTCTATGATGACAGCCAAAACATTGGGTGTGTCACCACTTCCATTGTCACATTCAGGAATGGAAATCCATACCGCAGTACCACACTCAATGGACGGGAACTTATTGTCAGATCTTGACACCATTTTACGAGCTTGTTCAATATTGCTTTCGGCAGCTTTTTTATTTTGTTGACTATTTTCCTGATTATAGCAGATTGGACACAACACATGTGTTCTGTATATAACATGACAGTTTGGACAGTGATGTGCTCCACTTGAAGTAATATATAAAATTTTAAAAACTAGAGACATCTGACAGACATTTAGATCTTAAAATGGTTTAGCCCGCTGTTTGTTTATAAAAACTCCACTCACCTTCATGTTTTTATATGCTTTGTCTGAGCCCAATGTGTTTAATATCTTATGTATTTCACACTCTGACTAAGATCGTCAGGTATTCTATAGAATGTCTGGGTTACACACTTTGCCTGTAACACAATAATAATTTAAACCAACCTAAGAATATCCCCTTCGTTTAGGTTCATGAGCACCATGTATCCCCTAAACTCTGCCTCGTTGGGACAGTAGACCTGTCTCTTCTCCAGGTCAGCATACAGCTCTTTCAGTGTCTGCAGACACTTTGTCAGATTTTCATTATTGATTTTGGCATCAAAGGTCATCATGTCCTCCTCACAGAGCCTCTCTGAACAGAAGATGTGGAACCTGGTGCACTTTTCCAGTAGCTCCGCCACTTGGATGTCACACAGCTGTTGTTGGGTGATGTCCTGAACAACACAAGCAGAGAAGCAATAACTTGTAGTATTGGTGCCATTATACAAATTCAAAAAATGTTTAATGTTTACGAAAATAGTTAGGGAAAATAGGGAGAAAAAAAGAGATTTGAAACAAGATGATGTATCAAGCACAAGCTCGGTCAAAGCTTGAAATGAGATCAATGTCCACCACAGATGTCAATGACATCATCACCATTACAATCCAGCAAAGCTTGAAATGAGATCAATGTCCACCACAGATGTCAATGACATCATCACCATTACAATCCAGCAAAGCTTGAAATGAGATCAATGTCCACCACAGATGTCAATGACATCATCACCATTACAATCCAGCAAAGCTTGAAATGAGATCAATGTCCAAAACACATGTCAATGACATCATCATCATTACAACCCAGCAGCCGCCCAGCCATGCGCCCAGTAAAATAAAATTAACTCAGTTCTGCAGAAAGGTTTTATTCGCTGGTGATGGGTCAGAAAAAAAGATAGAAATAGAAACATTCGTTGTGTGAGATTGGAAATCCAAAAGTACCTGTCTGATATACTATAAAACAAACTGGTGGGGGAGATGAGGGGTATGTTACTTCATTTTTTGAACAACTTTCTGTCTGAAATGAGGAGCAATTCATTCATTTTTTTTTATTTCTAGATTCTAACCATAGAAAGGTGAAACAAATTTGGTGCCTGGGGCCCCCAGCCTCAGAGGAGTAAAGCCAGATTTTGAATCAAGTTTGAACACAAAGAAGAACATGTCTATCTTAAGATTTTCATAAAAGTATGTAATAAGTCAGTTATGATAAGAAGAAATCTTATCAGAAAGACCTAGACTTGGTACTTAGTGGACCAAAGACCTTGACCTTGAAACTTTGTTTTGCCACCATATTCATTATTAAGAACATCAGTAAAAGATAACACAATCTAACATAAAACCGTCTACTTCCCCGGCAGGTTGGCACATTTCAAAACAGTTAATAACATCGTTTGTGCCAGATAACACTGCTGCAATACAGTTCATTTAAAAAGTGGTTTACAATGAATTGAAGGAGTGGAAATTTAAGGTCATAGAAAAGTTCTGGTAAATGTAAAACAGCAAATATTCAAAAGGAATATATATATATCATACAATTACTACTGACAATATGAGTAGTGAGACATATTTAAAAATATCAAATCAAAACTAAGAAATATTAAGCGTTTATACTATCATCAGCTGAACAATGCAGCATTCAAAGTCTTTCCGATGTCTTGTAACATGTACATTATACACAAATAACTGCATTTCTAATTATATTAAGCTGTAAGATAATACTTTTGTTGACTAAAAAAAAATGTATATTTTATTTTTTTATATCTTTTTTAGAGGTAATAAGACAAGAAAGACAAAATGTTCTCTATAGTCATTTGCACATTCTCAGTACTGCTTGGAGCTTGCAATTCATTTCTTATCCAAAACGTCGTTGACATCCCTCAAACCAGTTCTGGTGTTGGACCGCCTTATCCTGTCACCGCGGCATGGTTCCGAGACAGATTCTCCTCCAAAGATTGGGAGGACACACTGGACACATTTAAAAGTCAAGGGGGTGACACCGTATTTCTGCGAGCCCCACCCATCATTCGCAGAACAAGGCAGGACCTGGAAGGGGATCTAAACTTTATCTGGTGCGGGAGCTACAAAAGCAGCAACCCCGCCTGGGGGGACAGATGTTACGACGAGGCGGTGCAGGAGCTGAAAGAACTGGGACTGAATGTCAAAGCTTTTGTCACATACCAATATGAGGAAGGTTTCAGTGACGCCATCATGCAGTGCCCCAAGTATGACAGAAAGATCAACAGCTCGAGGGTTTACTACAGAATAGTGCTCCCATCACCAAACACAACATACTCCCCATCATCCCCATGTGATTACAAATCAGGGTCAGATGTTGTTGTACTATTGACCAGCTTTGCCGGCACTGACCCCCACCAATTACTTCTGCAGGCAGCAGCTGCTCGGGGAGTTTCAGTTTATTTTGGTCTCCCTGGGATACCGAATGGATTTGCCAGTGACCTCATGCCTGCCTACTATGCCTGGCTGGAGAGAATAGTGATAGAACATCAGTCACGCCTGACCAAAATTCCAGTCATAGAGAGAAATAGAACCAGTCTTGGTGATGAGTTTTTGACAGATGGCTCAACAACGACATTCAACAATCAGTCTCAAGCAACCCTATATGATTCTCTCATTGGTTATTATGGAACTGACGAGTGTTGTCTGGCGGAAATAACAAAGGACAGTCCCTATGTCCCCTTATATAAAAAAATTGGAACACTGGTAAAAAAACATGGGAAAAAATTTGCAGTGTCACCATACATCAATCTAAACAAGTCGCAGTTAAACGCTACCATTGGCCAACATGCGCAAGGTTTTGTTGACATAGCTACAACTGGAGTTGTCGATGTTATTGCTGTGCAGGAAGGAAGAGGAGCTGCCAAGGGGTGTTACTACTGGCCTCATGAGTTGTCTCTTCCTGTTTGTGTTGGTGACCCAGTGCTAGACAGGGCCATCCATTACCTTGACCCCACGCTCAGGGTAAATATTACATTTTCTGAGGCATTTTCCGCAAGCAACAGAGACGTTTTCTCAGCATTAGAAGCTGCCCAGCAAGAATTGGTGCAAGCAGGGTTTAAGTTTGAGTTCTGGTTGAATGCTGAAGCATTTGAGTTCCTAAGAGATGATCCTTGCCTGCCCGTAGACCCCATGGCTTCAGGAATGGGTGAGCTGTTGGATCGTACATCCAAAGAAAGACTGGACAAGGCTATCAGTGTGGCCGGAGCCAAGGTGCAAAAAATCATTTCATTTGCCTGGGACGCCGACTACACGTGTAAGACACTGCAGCATCAAATGAGTCTCAATGAAGAAATTCTTCAAGATCTCGGCAGACCCATCATTGCCAACTGCTCATTTCACAGTTATCAGAATCTGTCTGTGGTGCTCCTGGGCTATAACTTGGAGGGTGAGACCCAGGCATTTACTGTTTGGTGGATGGACACCAGAGGCAGAAACAGAACCGATACCATCCACGGTTACTACTTTGAGCTGGACTATGGCGCAACGCACAATCTAGTTCAGTCCTTGCAGTACACAATGCTGTGGGATATTCCAGAGATGGTTTTAGCTTTGGCCCCACAGGGCACAATCAAAGTGTCAGCAGACAATGCCAGACAGTCGTGCTATTTTGATTATGATTTGCCCTATTTAGTTGATCATTCTCCATTGGATGAAAACAAAAACCAGCTGAATGTCCTTTGGTTTGGATGAGTTAAAATATTAAATCAATGTTGCTGAAACTGATAAGGCTGCATTAATTTTTCCTATGGTTTCAAAATGACTGAACTTTTACTGTTTGTTGATTGGTTACTACATCTGGTAGAATTACTGTTTGTTGATTGGTTACTACATCTGGAAGAATCACCGTTTGTTGATTGGTTACTACATCTGGTAGAATTACAATCAATTAGTGAATCTGTACATTTCAAGTCAAATAACTTGTTTTGATGGGTCGGAAATCTAAAGACTATAGAACAAACACATTAACAGCATCCCTGAGTGTGAGCTAATCCACAAAAACTACAGAAACAAATTAAGAAGACAAGAAGATTTAAAGAGGGTTTATTTAGGTGTGTCCATTACTTATCAAATAGAATAGTCTGCTCCATAATGGTGTTACTGTCAAAAAGAAGACAAGAAGATTTAAAGAGGGTTTATTTAGGTGTGTCCATTTACTTATCAAATAGAATAGTCTGCTCCATAATGGTGTTACTGTCCAGACACTTTAATATCTATCAGACTCATTGCCATGGCAATGAAATTTAATTTCACTAACTTCATTGTGATTGCTTCACTGAAGTGGCTTGCAAGGAGATATAAAAGGTTTCTAGTATTAACTTTACAGTAACAGCTGTGTTAGATACATGTTCATGCTGATACGAGTGTATTAAAACAACAGACTCAGATTAAACAGCACTATGACATATTAGAAATGTTACTATCCCAAGGCTTAGATACATCTACTATCTAACAAACATATTCTGGTGAAGGTCTGAGATTACTCTCTTATGAGCCGGCTTGTACATTGGCTACCAGCTCCTTCTGCTGAGCCATACAACATTTTCCTCACGTAGGGATCTCCAGCCGCCCTGGCTTCCCCCGGAACATCTAGTGAGGACATTCGGTCAACAGGTGCGCTAGTGTTTCCGGGACCAGGCTACAATGTCGGCAGGTAGGGTCCCTGTTGTTATCTAGCCGCTAGAAGTATGTACCAATGCATCTATTCATCTAATGGCTAATTAAAGACCAGCTGAGGAAGACCTGCAAATTTATCACCATGTCTGCAGGGTGAAGGGAACAATGGATGGGAATGAGACGTCCGTCTCCCAGAAATCTGTTTAAAATGTTTCTAGATAATATCAAGTAAAATATATTGAGCTTTCTTAACTCTGTTGAGTGTGTGTGATTGAGGTATGGTGAAACAAGGGGTAACTACCTTTCTTATTCCTCTAGTCCTATTCCACAGGAAGTCATACCATTCTGCCCATTGTCCGTCACCTCCCTGGTCGGCTATCTCAGTGAGTAAATAGTGCATGGTTTTCACCAGCACTGGCAAGGGACGTAGCTCATGAGGAAGTGGCTCCTCCTGTCACATAAATCATAACATGTTAAAAATGTGTCATAAATACTTACATTAATACAAAGGCGGTCCATTACTAGCCTCTAAGTGTTAATGTAAAATACCATGTACTGTTCAGAAATGCATGGAATATGAAGGTCAGTTGTGATCACCGATGGTAAATTTATATTGTATAACCGTTTTATTTCATCAAGCCATTTTTTTCAACTTTTTTTTTTTTCATCCCTTCACGCTCCATTTGATTAAATACTAGCACATAAAAGTTGATTATCAGTTTCATGTACTGGGAATCTCAGCTAAATAATCTACAACAATCCGTGCTTACAAGAGTTGTACACATTAAGTGAAATTCTTTAATCTATTAGCACTATTAAGCACAAATTAAAAATCTCTCCTAAAATCTAATTGTTAATTAAGTCTAGCTGCCAATGCCATGAAATACATCTGACATGATGAGTTACTTTACCTGGTCAGCTGAAGACCTGCTGTATTCTTTAACTGCTCGGCTGTGGTCCACCTTAGACTTCTGACCAGTCTGTAAATTAAAGAGAACAATTTAAGAGTGGACAAAGAAGAAATTATTTTAAACACACACAAAAATATCTGTGTCATCACAAACCATTTTGAACATTTAAGAAACTGAATTGAATTAAGCTGGATAACTAGGTTTATGAAATCCATTTATTGCAGGTAAAATTGTACATCAGTTTAACTAGGAGGCTTAAAGAGCTTCATTTTAGGGGGCTTTTAATTTAATTGATCAAATTACTGTAGTAGGGGAAAAAATCTACTCAGAAAAGGAGTTCCCATTATTTATGCATGTAAGAAATTTTTCATTACAGGTAAACAATATATTCTAATGCCTATGCAACCATATCTTCTTAGCCAGCTTGCAATTGGCCACCAAACGAGCATCATTTCTGCTCATAACACCAGTGACGTAAGTAGACCCACCTTGATGGGATATTAGCTAGTTGTATTGGTATGACCACAGTTCATTTTGTATATTATAATAATTTAAAGGATTTTGACATTTTTCTTTTAAAAAATTTAATCCGCATTGCATTATTATGGATCAAGCTTAACAGATCACAAGGAACATTGACTTTTTTCAGAGCTTATTTAGGGAGATTTTTTAAAACAAAGAGTTAGGGTCCGCATTATATGTGGCTCACCCTAAATGCTGTGACATAGTGATTTAAGAATTTTAAAGTAAAACTATGAACAGGCAGAAACAACAAAAACTATGTCAAAATCCCTGCTATTTAACAGAGTGCATCTAACAGGACAGCTAAGAATTCCCACTTTTAATCTTAATTAATGCAGAGGGTAATTTTCTTGTTATACTTTAAATCTAAGTTAATTTGAAAATAAAATTTTATAATGCAGGAAAATGCCAAGTTTCATGATAAAAGGCTATTTTAATTAAAATTTAATATTTAATTAAACTGTGCCAGATGCCAGGTGATTAAAAATGAATAACGGTGTTTAGAAGATAAATGGCGGTCGAGTAATGTGTCTATATGTAAATAAAACCAAGCTTACCACACTTGTCAATGTGCTTGGGATAACTTCATACAATGCCAGCCTTCTGATGTCTTCTCTGTAGTATCTCTCCTTCTCAGGACACATGTCAGGACAGGTCCCGAGGAAGGCTTTCGCTGAAGCCAGGTCAGATTGTTGTCTGCCCCTTACTTAAACACAGATGCCCAAACAGATCAATTATTGTTTTTATCATTTTACATCAATGATGTAATTTAATTATAATTATCTAGAGTCATATTTTGTGTAGGAGTCTCTCTCAAAGATTAAATTTCAGTCGAAAGTTAACTTTACTTACAACAAAATAATTAGCTCCACATTAATATATGTTGTAAGCATTTACCATTTTTCTTATTTCTGATATATAATCATTGATGTAATAGAAAAATATCATCACAGCAACAAAAAATGTTAATCAAATAGTAAAAACATATGATGTTCTGATAGAAAGAATATTTACATATTTTAAGGAACTTGTCTTTGGCATCAAGTATAGCAATTTTTTCTGTGGTATCTTTTGCTTTTGCCCTAAAGATCTTCTTGAGCATTTCTAAAATGAAAAAAAAAATTAAATGTTATTACTTTGCTGAAAACATGTTGTATGAAATGCATTGTGTAACATGTTGTGATTCAAATGCAGTGACATATTTAAAAACAAAAAATGAACAAAGAATGAACAAGCCACCTTTAGAAAAATTTTTAAGAAAGAAAAAAAAATATAACAATGAAATAAATGTATTTACCTTTTGCAACTTCTAAATCAGGTGCTGCAGAATGACTGACTGATGTTGCTGATGACGTGGGCGGAGGGGTGGGAGAGTGTCTACGAGAAGTAGGTGGCTTCTGGGTCTCCTTTCCTGGTCGAGATATTCTGGGTTTGTCCTGAGCAGACGTGCCAGCCATCTCCTCCTGAAAGGTATTGTTAAAGACTTTCGAATTTGAAATAAAAATACTTAAACTACATTTTATTTCAAGGCAAACATTTTGTCTGACTGTCAATTCAAAGCAAATAATAAAGATTTTGGTTAAATAATATTCACCATAACAACATAAAATATCTTGGATTTTTTATAGAACTATGAGGCATCAATACTTATAGCATCCCTTGACTGGTGCAGAAACTATATCAACCTCCTATGAAAAGATGTTTCAACTACCTGATAGTCAGACGTTCCAGCCATACTTGCTAATTCATCATCTACAATGCTACTGAAAAGATTTCTTTTCCTTGAGAGACCTGTAAGCAAAATGGACATTTTAGATAAAGTATAAACACTTATTCCAGTGGTTTATAAACTAGAGACCTTCTGGAGATCCACAAACGCTATTAATTAATTGTAACTTGAGGATTCTATGGAATGGAAATTTGTATTCATGGCATTTCTTGTATACACAAAAGAAATATACAGTTATCTTCTCACCATCCATTTTTCATTAAGTCTTTTATTTAAAATATGCTGTGATATCAAAGAAATTGTCATATTAAACTTATGATGCCACTACCGGTAGTCATTTTCACCTGTAAAGAAATGTTTAAATAATTAAAGCTACGAATTTTAAAGGGGATATAACTATATATTCTGAAAATGTAATAAATTTTCAAAGGTTGACTCTCTTAGCATTAGACATATGATGGGAAATATGTTATTTGATGATGTTTCAAACTTGAATGTTTCTGATAAAAGTGGTGGGATGATGCAAATTAAAATTACACCTATTCTGTTAAAAAATAAAAGCATGTCCAAATATGGTCTCAGAGATTTTTTTTCCAAATTGATCATATTTATTTTTTTTAATTAAACTTATAACATTAGATCCAGAAACCTACTGTAAAAGTTAAATGTATTTCTGCATTATTTGATTAAGGGCTTAACACAGAATAGATCATTATTTCATTACATCACAATATATATTGTAAAGCCAGATTTGTTTTTGAGTTGAACAAATTATTGTATGATTTGTTCTAAAGCAGACTTTCTTGGGAAATATTTCAGGGGAATAAGTGGGGTGGTCGTCTTAAGAGCAGGTCATATGAAATTTGTATCATTTTCTGCAGGTACATTAAATAGTGAAATTATTGTACATCACTGAGGTGCTAAAAGATTTCAAAAATGTTACAGAAGTTTTAAATATTTATAAAACAAGGATACCGAAAGTAGATGTGCTCTATTTGCTCAACATAATGAAAATTATATAATATAAGATGATCGCAACATATGTAAAGCTGGCCTCCATAGCTCATCCTAGATATTCTTTGGTACCGTATCAGCTCACACTGGCATATTATTTTATGGGGTCAGCTTATGAGCAGGTTATACACTATTCGGGTTTTTCCTGTGCACAACTAGCAGGGTCAGCTTATGAACCCACAAGCTTTAGACTGAGTATCTACAGTAAAAAAAAAAGATCAAATTTTTGTTTTTTATCTTTAAGCTTTATAAATGTATCTGCCTGACATCTGTTTTGTTTCTTATTGAAGTCCCTAATTCTAACTTACTTTCTGAAGATTTTCGGCTCTCAGGGGACTTCACTGATGCTGCTCTCCAAAATATACTCAGCGGTGGGCCATTTTTAGACAAATGTTTCCCTTCATTTTTTGCATTCTGAGCTTGTTCCTGTGTACATAGAATGAAGATAACAAACTCATGCCTCATGGAACCAATTAATTGTATACTTGCAACTACACTATACCAATTTATAAAAAAAATAAAAATTTAATGACACCTTAACAAAACTTCCCTATGAAATTCTATTGACAATGTTCCATATTTGGAAGCCAAGTATGTTAACAAATGGCTATGGAGATACTGTTCTATAGATGCAGGCCAAGTATGTAAACATATGGTTATGAAGACAACTAAAAGAAATAAGCACTGAAGCAGATAAATTGAAAAAATGTATTTGTGAAACTTACATGTGTTTCAAATGTGATATTAGCTGATCGTTTATTGGCTAAAATATGAAGACGAAGGATATTCCCAAATTGAGAAAAATGATTTCGCAGTGTGGTTTGTTTATTGAGGTGAGCTGGAATCTCCTTAACAACTATTATGGTCTTTGAGCTCAAATCCTCAGTAGATCTGCGTGCAGATAACAATCTTGGACGAGCAGGTGGCGATGATGCACTCTCTGCTGAGAAACAGATTAAATTTTAACTAGATCCTACAGAATCCCTTAAAGCAGTCTGGTGGCACAACTCAAAATGAAATAGGACAGGACTTGTGCAGGCCAAAAGAAAATAGGACAGATGGGAAAGCTATTGAGAAAATAATAAAAATAAAGTATATTTCGTTAGTTCGCAGGTCACCAAGTGGGTGCTGGAGGGCCACATGCGGCCTGTGGACCGTATGTTGTGCAGGCCTGCCTTAAAGTATTGTTTTTAAATTAAGTCCTTAAGCAACAAAACACATAAAAAAGAAAACATAGAATTTGAGGTAACAGCATTTAAAAATTGCATCAAAATTAATTTTAATTGAAACATTAATATTTGAAGTTAAAATTTTTACCTTACTGGTCTATTAGAATGCAAACCTGTCAATCACTTCAAAAATAATCATTCTTAATAATCACTTTCAATTTACAAAATAACAAGACCAGAAAGCTTTGACTGTTCCATGGTAGATGGCAAACAGTTCTTGATAAGTTTAAATTTTGAAACACTCCTCTCATATGAAGTCTCATATGAAGTCTCATACACACAGATTGTGCTCTAAATGGTAGGTTGGAAGAGACTCTAGGAAGTCCCATTCAGCTATAAATTTCAAACTCTAAATATGACCAATATTTTTATTTGTGCCTTCCCAGCCTTGATATTTCAATGAAAAGTTCACTTTCAGATAAGTCATCATACAGTTTTTAACTTTAATTGTCTAAGTTTTATATTTATGGCCCCATATTGATGGTGATGCCTAAGGGGATAGCCACTGCTAATATCTTGTGATATTTTACATTTTTATATAAAAACATTGTCGGGTGAGGCCCTAGGCACAACCAAGAATGGAGATGATGGTTATCTCAGTGTTTTCAATGAGTAAGCATGGGCTGGGGACCCTTGAGCCTTGTGCCAAAATTTGAAAATATACAACATTGACAATTTTTGTAAACAATACAGAGACATGAAATAGCAGTTAATTTAAAAAAACAATAAATAAAGCCAACTGACATACGAGTTTAATGTTTATGTGCTTCTGAAGAGACCGCCACTAAATCATGACTAGCGTTGGGCTTCACAAACTTAAGCCGCCGATTTAATAGAAAAACTCACTTGACACTCTTGTGGCACTCTTTGCTTGTGGCACTCATTGCTGGTGGCACAGAGTCAGGTGATACAGAGTCAGGTGGCACAAAGTCTGGTGGCACAGAGGCAGGTGGCACAGAGTCAGGTGGCACAGAGTCAGGTGGCACAGGAGTCAGGTGGCACAGAGTCGGTGGCACAGAGTCAGGTGGCACAGAGTCTGGTGGCGCAGAGTCTGGTGGCACATAGTCTGGTGTCACAGAGTCAGGTGACACAGAGTCTGGTGGCACAGAGTCAGATGGCACAGAGTCTGGTGGCACATAGTCTGTTGTCACAGAGTCAGGTGGCACAGAGTCATGTGGCACAGGAGTCAGGTGGCACAGAGTCTGGTGGTGCAGAGTCTGGTGGCACAGAGTCTGGTGTCACAGAGTCAGGTGACACAGAGTCTGGTGGCACAGAGTCAGATGGCACAGAGTCTGGTGGCACAGCGTCTGGTGGCACAGAGTCAGGTGACACAGAGTCAGGTGGCACAGAGTCTGGTGGCACAGAGTCAGATGGCACAGAGTCTGGTGGCGCAGAGTGTGGTGGCACAGAGTCTAGTGACACAGAGTCTGGTGGCACAGAGTCAGATGGCACAGAGTCTGGTGGCACAGCGTCTGGTGGCACAGAGTCAGGTGACACAGAGTCAGGTGACACAGAGTCTGGTGGCACAGAGTCAGATGGCACAGAGTCTGGTGGCGCAGAGTGTGGTGGCACATAGTCTGGTGTCACAGAGTCAGGTGACACAGAGTCTGGTGGCACAGAGTCAGATGGCACAGAGTCTGGTGGCACATAGTCTGTTGTCACAGAGTCTGGTGGCACACACTCTGGTGGGGCCCTGCTCTAGTATTTAACTTAAGCATGTTATGAAACTGACTCAAGCAAGCTCTGTTGATTTTTTTTTCAATTTTCCATTTGGTGTCACCTCTTTGAGAGGGTGTCACCTCTTTGAGAGGGTGTCACCTCTTTGAGAGGGTGTCACCCAGTGTGGTTCGCATCCCCCGCACCCTTCTAGTGATGCCACTGGATAGATTTCATGTTGGTCATTCCAATTGTTTTCAAATTATACCATAATTTCCATTCACTATTTACCTAAAGAAACCATTTCTTTTTCATTAATGAGCAATAAAGTGAAACTAATTTCAGGACGTATTTACAAAATTTTTAATACTGTAAAGTCAAAGCTGCTACATAAAGAAATGATAATGAACTTACCTTGACCTCCGGGGAAGCGAGATCTTTTTGACTGTCCTGTAAATAAATTTGAGTAAATGCATTGGAGCATGAGCATGCAGAAGCATTCAAGACTATAAAGAGGTTAATTACCATGATATTCTGGTATACTAATTGTTACTATACATTAGCACAAACAAACACAAACAGGGGATACAAACACCATCCATTATTAACATTAAAAAAAAAAGAAGATAATTTTTGCATAGAATTGAAACAAGTGCTGCAGTCTAAGCAGGTTAAAAATATCCCTTCAAATATTTTTTTTTTTAAATACATCAATCCCTTACTCAATTCTGTTTCTTGAGTTGAAGATGGTTGACTCCTTTTCCTATGATCCTCTTGAGGAGCATTGTCTCTTGCTTTATTCCATTTGGTTAGGGATTGGCGGGGTGGGCTTTTGACTTGAACATAAATTTAAGTGTTAGGAGCTGGAGTTTTTCTTGTTAAGATAACAAGGACAATTTAGGACAATGCAAGTACATAAATTATGTTACCAAAAAAAATCTAAATAAATTTATATGCATTATGGCTTTAAAATTAAAGAAAAGTAAACTAATAATAAAAATGGTATTTTCCAATTATTTTGTCAAGAGCAATAATTTAAAATGATTATCCTCACTGTTCTGGTCTTGGTTGCCTGAAGTTCTTTCTTGAAATTCTTCATGTGCTAGCAACAAAAGAAAATTCAGTTATAAAAAACATTAAATGCTTAAGTTTTGTTTCATACTAAAACTGCATATTTCAGGCCCTTTTATCTCCTGACAATGAAATATGATTGAAAAAGAATTATTGTCCAGTGTTTCTCCACTTCAATTTCAAAATTAAACATTTAATTTAACCTAGTAGCAAGATTACAATAACGTGAAATGATAAAATTTTAGATGCAGCAGAAAAGCCCCTAAATTTTCATCAACTTCATGGTCAGATAAGCTATATGCATACATCACTTATCAGAAACAGATCATTTTGGAAAATGTTAGCGGACCTGACCTGATCCTTGGCAGTTTCTTGTAAATAATGGAAAAAAACATCAAAATGTATTACTTTTTAAGTAACAAGATACATAGTACTAGTTGGGCTACCATTTTATTGGGACAGTTCTTTATATGGGACGAATATCAAGAATAAAATAAAAAATTACATTTTCCATGACTGCTTTCCTTTCCGATAGCACTTAAAAATGTGCCATTAAAGCATTTTTTTTAACTTACTGTCATTGGCTTCTCTCTCTGCATGCTGCATCAGATTGAAACTGGATGCCGTCCGGCTAAGCCTTGATGACGTCTGAGATTTTCCAAATAGTGAAGAGTCGATTTCAGAAAGGGCGGGAGCCTGAGGTACATGCCCAAACAATTTTGGACCCTGAAGATTTGCAGAGCTGGTGGAAGAATGTTTTCCCAATTCCACAATTTCATTTGAAGATTGAGTAACAGGAAACATTGATCCCTGTGTCTGCCTTGAAAATTGGACTGTTTCTTTTGCAGTGTTCTCTTGAGTTTTCCCAAACAATGATTTGCTACTCTGTAAATTGTCAAATTGTTTAGGTTGACCAAAAGATGCTGAAAAATGTTGGTTTTGCCAAGAACCCGTGTTAGGACTTAACTGGCTTGCAGATTGCCCTGTTGCTTCAGGAGCACTAGTTTGTTTTACCGGTACTGAAAATAAAGACATGGCATTAGACCCAGGGAAAGCACCAGAAGAAGTGTTCATTGCTGATTTTTCAGAGTAAGTACTGTTAGCAGATGATACACTTGATGTCCTTTTTCTGGAGGATGATAACAAAGTTTTCTGCTGGTCAGAGCTATTGGTGTTTTCTTGTGTATTTTGAGAACCATGTCCACCTGAGTTTGACATACGGAAAATAGGTGATCGTAGCTGAGAAGAACTAATACTTTGTGAAGAGCTTAACTTAGATGCCTCATTTCCTGAAGCCCAAAGGAGTCCACTTTTTGATTGTGTAGTTCCTTCCCTTTCTTCCACTCCAATCCCTGACTGATCATTTAATTTATTAGTATTAGTTTTTAACTTTCCCCCAAAGAGTGTTTTGGATGAAGATGTTTCTGAAAAGACAGATGGGTTTGGCGGGTTGAAGAAAGAAGCAGTAGTTGTGGCAGATCCAAAACAAGTCCCAGAATTGATTGCTCTGTCATTGCCCGGTTTAGAAGTGAAACTGACTTGTTCGGCTTGACCACCAAATATAGAAGCTGTTTGAGCAGTTCCTAGAATTGCCTGCCCCCCTAAACTAGATTCTGGTGGCATCTCTTGACTCCCAAAACCTGATAGTGTTCCTTGCCCACCAAAACCAGAAGAACCACTTTGCATCCCCTGAGCCCCAAATGAAGGTCCTGTATGAAACGTTTTACCACCAAATGTAGATCCGGTTGTGGTTCTTTGACCAGTAAAGGATGGTCCAGTCTGAATTCCTTGTCCCCCAAAAATAGAGACAGTTTGGGTTCCTTGTCCACCAAAGATAGAAGTATTACCCTGAGTTCCTTGTCCACCAAAGATAGAAGTACTGGTCTGAGTTCCTAAGCCACTAAAGACGGATCCAGTTTTGGTCCCTTGACCATCAAAGACAATTCTACTGGTCTGAGTTCCTTGTCCACCAAATAAAGATGTACCAGCTCCCTGAACTTCAGCTGTCGATGATATTGTTTGCATGTCCTGACCATCAATTTTCGCTTCATGACCACCAAAAATAGAATTGCCAGTTTGTGTTCCTTGTCCACCAAAAAAAGAATTTCCAGTTTGTGTTCCTTGTCCACCAAAATTAGTAGGGCCAGTCTGGGTTCCTTGTCCTCCAAAAATATTAGTGCCAGTTTGTGTTCCTTGTCCACCAAAAATAGAAGTGCCAGTTTGTGTTCCTTGTCCACCAAAAATAGAAGTGCCAGTTTGTGTTCCTTGTCCACCAAAAATAGAAGTGCCAGTCTGGGTTCCTTGTCCACCAAAAATAGAAGTGCCAGTTTGTGTTCCTTGTCCACCAAAAATAGAAGTGCCAGTCTGGGTTCCTTGTCCACCAAAAATATTAGTGACAGTCTGGGTTCCTTGTCCACCAAAAATAAGAAGTGCCAGTTTGTGTTCCTTGTCCACCAAAAATAGAAGTGCCAGTCTGTGTTCCTTGTCCACCAAAAATAGAAGTGCCAGTTTGTGTTCCTTGTCCACCAAAAATAGAAGTGCCAGTCTGGGTTCCTTGTCCACCAAAAATATTAGTGCCAGTCTGGGTTCCTTGTCCACCAAAAATATTAGTGCCAGTTTGTGTTCTTTGTCCACCAAAAATATTAGTGCCAGTTTGTGTTCTTTGTCCACCAAAAATATTAGTGCCAGTCTGGGTTCCTTGTCCACCAAAAATATTAGTGCCAGTTTGTGTTCCTTGTCCACCAAAAATAGAAGTGCCAGTTTGGGCTCCTTGACCAGTAGATGTAGACGTTATTTGCATGCCTTGGTCATCACCGGAAGATCCAAACATAGATTGCATTCCTTGACCACCAAAGATTGGAGCTGATGAAATCCCCTGTCCACCAAATGCAGATGTTGCTTGGGTAGCCTGACCACCAAAAACAGAACCTATCCGTGTTGCTTGACCCCCAAAGAGAGGTCCTGACTGAGTCTCTTGACTGCCAAACACAGGGGTAGACTCAGTCACTTGTCCAGCAAAATTACCAAATATAGATCCTGGTTGAGATTGAGATCCAAAGGGATTTGCACTTTGGCTATCCTGCCCTCCAAAAACACCAAAACCAGAAGACTGCATGATGATAGCAATGCTCTTCCTTCCTATTCTGCAAATGAAATGTTGACAATTTTCCATATAAATAGATGTAATCTGATAATTTTTCATGCAGTTTATACTTTATACATTTCTTAAATAGTTTTTGAAAGGCTATTTTGTTATTTCAAAATCAAAACATGCTAGTAGAAATGGGAATAATCCATCTTTCTAGATAGCATAAAAAGATTTTTAACTCATATGCCCTTTTACATATTAAATAAACACAATTTAATGGGAAAGTAGAGTAAAAGAACTTAAGGACAGTTATTGTGTATGCCATTATTGTTACTCAATATCATGAACAAACAAAAATAAAAATTATTATGGAGCTGGACTTCCTGTCAACAGTCACATGGATGTTGATGGTTGACAAATTCTTCTATTTTTATTCTGATTTGGACAAGTGGTCTCCATAACAAAGATCAAATTTACTAATTATATAAGACTAATTTCATTGCAATTCTGAGTTTTGTATGTGCCGTAAACGTTAATATTTAATTTCTATATAAACTATGTTCTTCTCATGCCCTACTAGGTTATTAATTTATTTTATGTTTTGTTACAGTGGCTTTAGAACTAAATAAGTTATTGGTCAATTTAAGGAATCCAGTACCACCGTTTTCTCCATGTTTGGTACTACTTTTTTTTTTACATGGCCACCATCTTTGTTGCTATGACAACAGACATGTTAATAAAAGGTAGAAACCAACATCGGGGGAAAAGGAAACAGTGTGTTTTAGATATTTACTGAGATACAAAAAAAGAAAAATTAAGAGAATTGTAAGGTTTTTTTTAATGAAATAAGTGATACATTTTGTCCCTGGAAAACTTAGCAACTTTATTGTATCCTCCTAGATATGCAGCAAGAAGAGTCAACCACCTTTCTTCCCTCAAGCATTACTAAACCACATGTGCTACAGTTAAGGGTTGAGATAATTTAAATCAAATTATTCAAATAAGATTGATAAAAACATGATTTAAACAAGAATTGTGTTTTTAATTAATTTTAATTTTATTTTAATTATATTTTTTTCATCTAATCTACTCATATTTAAAGACAGTTGCTTAAAAGAACTCCAGTTTTTCTAGGTGTTGTTAGTAACATTATAAATTTTTTCTTATACATTATAGTTATTATTTTATACGGTAATAATAAATTTCATTTTTATTTCCGTTAAGCTTTTCAGTTTTTAGAAATTAGAAATTGACTTGAGGTTGAGAAAGAAAGCTGGAAAATTCAATAAATAGTGGAATGAGAATAATTTAGACTTGAAAAGAAAAGACAATTAAACAGGCGTTTGGGCTAGAGGCCTTCATGGGCAGATATTTTAAACTAAAAATAGAAATAAAAACTTATGTTTTCGAAAAATCTCAAGAATGTCAAATGTAGCTTAATGTTTAGAATAGCAATCTATTTTATTATATCAGAAGGCTTTGGTGGAATTGAATGACACTGACAATAATTATGACACTGACAATAATTATGACACCGACAATAATTATGACACTGAAACTTAATTGAAATTCTTAATCATATAGATTAGATAGAGACTATAATTAAGACTATGAGAAACTATGACTATCGATTTTAAGTCACAAGACACTGAAACTTAATTGAAATTCTTAATCATATAGATTAGATAGAGACTATAATTAAGACTATGAGAAACTATGACTATCGATTTTAAGTCACAAAAGCTAATTTCTATTTAACTATTTGATATTTCATAATCAATATTTTAATAGGATATAAAATATAATGAGAAAAATTAATATACTGAATCCCACATATAGAGAAATCCACAAAAAATAGTAGAAGGAAAAATCTGATCTAAATTTTTTTTAAACTGATTTAAATTTTTAAACTCCTATAAATTGATTTAAACACCATTAGAACCTCGTTACATTTAGTCTTTATTAACATTCATACACTTCAAAATCTTAAGCAATCCTTTAACAAATAATAATAAAATCAATTTCAAGAAAGAAATCCCATTTAATTTTTAAAATCTGATTGAAATTAAAAATACAACTACATTGTGTTTAATCTGTATTATAATATATTTTAAAATCTATAGAAATCCTCTTTAGAAAGAAGGAAAAAATCCATTTATTCAAAGAAACTTATGGTGGTACCAAGTTATTTATTATAGACTATAATAGTAGACCAAAATTAGAATAGCCATTTAGTCTAAAGTCTAAAGGCTAAAGGGACCCGTGTCCGAATAGTGGCTTTTCGGACCCGTGTCCGAATAGTGGCTTTTCGGACCCTGGTCCCTTTAGCCTTTAGACTAAATGGCTATTCAGATATAATTTGTGGTAGTTTATTTAAGTTAAACTTATACTGAAGACTGAAGAATAAGTTAGTTTACAAAATTACAACTGTAACAAACATAAAATATAGTGCATAGTCCATTCAATTATCTTTCATTTGACTCATTTGATACCAAATTTTGTGTTATAAACCCAACAATACTCAATAATATTTTTAAAATGTTTTAATAAACCCAACCTCTCACTATTTTTCGTGTCTGAATAGCCACTCCGTGATACTATCATTATTCATAATAGTAATAGACAATGGAAATAGACTCGGGCCGCTTTCTCTGAATTACAGTTTATACTGGTAATGAAATTTGTCATTTTTTGGCCTTGGCTTAAACTTAACTTGACTTTTTAACTGACTTAAGACAAGACTTCTATTCTTCTTTCTACTCTTAAACTTTAAGTTACTTAAGTTACTTGCTTATTAAGGCTTAGATCTAAGTTTTATAACTGTGAGTGTGATAGAGGAGTTAAATAAATTTGAAATTAAATAGATAATAACCGTACTAGTACTTAAAAAAATGTTTGTGAATTTTATTCAAACGTCAACTCACCTAAATTAATTAATTCATTTTTTTTTATTATTATTGTACAAATAACTTAATAAGCTCTACGATTTGGGCAATTATTATTATCGAACAAGCTTTTTTTGGTTCAAAACAGATAGCTCGTTCTTTTTTTTTTTTAAAGAAGTTAGGAAAAAGCCTCCGGTTATGTTTACGTCGCCAGTAAATGCATAATCATGCTAATCCTCCGTTAACGCAGGTCTTTAAAAAATTTATTTACCGTATATTAGACTTTTTACTAACTTTTATATTTATTGAATGTAGGTCTTTAATTAATACTATCAGCTAAAAATCACCTTCAGTTGAGTTATTTGGGTTACCGGAAATTTGATCGAAAGAAATTTCGTCGACGGTAAATAGATCGACGGAAATTTGGTCGAATCTTTTTTTTTTTTTTTTCAGTTCACGCGTTAAGTCAAATTTTTTTTTGAACGCAGTAGACTATATAGTAAAACAAAATAATGCGTTCAACAAGAAATTTGAAGCAAAATTTTAACGGAAAAAATGAAAAAAATAGATCGACGGAAATTTGGTCGAATCTTTTTTTTTTTTTTTTCAGTTCACGCGTTAAGTCAAATTTCTTTTTGAACGCAGTAGACTATATAGTAAAACAAAATAATGCGTTCAACAAGAAATTTGAAGCAAAATTTTAACGGAAAAACTGAAAAAAGGTTTGACCAAATTTTCGTTCGATTAAATTACTGTCGATCAATTTACCGTCGACGAAATTTCTTTCGATCAAATTTCCGGATACTATGCTGACCACCGTACATCTGTCGACGTCGCCGTACGGTCCGATTTACTCTGGTTTGTCCCGGTTTACTAGCAGTGCTGTTTGATATTCTTTACCGACTTCAATCACAATTTTTAAAATAATAATTTATTTGCCCTGTCTGTCTTATGTTATGTAGGATATAGCCTAGTAGACTATACTATTACATAATTAACTGTTCACTCTACATACGATAGTTAATAGGCTATCAGAATTTGATTGTTAACGAATTCCATAGTCATATTTAATGCAGTGCCGTCTAAAGTAGAATTACCAAATCATGAACTGGAAAAAGCGGGACACACCCAAGGAGGGTTGTTTGGGGGGATACCCTCCAGCTCAAGAGATTTACGGGGGCCTCCGCCGGAAAGTTTTAATGAAATATCCTCACTTAAACTATTTTGAGACCTAGAAATCTTTTTAAATTTATCTTCACTTTTGTAATTTAATTTAAACTCTGAGGCATATCATAAACGAAAACAATAATTTTGCAGTAAATATTTATTTATAGGCCTACATAATAACACATTTTACAACATAACAAATTAAATTTCTCTAGTCTATGATTGAGGACATTTGCCTCATTTGGCTGTTGTCCCAGCCATTGTTAAAACCTCCTTCTTGTCTAATATAAAGTTTTAAAAACTAGAAAAGTCCATTTCGAAATTGTAGAGAACCTGCAGGATTGCAGAAAGGGCCTCCACTCTCATCTTGTTTCTTTCGTCCGTCCATTGAATGTTCATGAGCGAAAAGATTCTTTCAATATTACCATTGTGGGGAGGGATCGCAGCGTCGGCAGAGTGATGGAGGGGGAACAGTGCAGCCATCACGCGAGCCCACATCACTACTCAGCTGGCACTGGCTACACATCTAACCAAAATAGTTATATTATAAATTATGAAGCTTTAGTGATTTGAAAATGTGTTTGGTTTTAGAAACGGGACATTTAGGCGTCCGAGAGACTTTTTTCGGGACACCGGGTACGATCGTGAAAAAACGGAACAATCCCGTTTTTACGGGACGTTTGGTCACCCTGGTCTAAAAGCACGGGCACTTGCCCAGGGCCTCACACTTCATGAAGCCTCCTGCTCTAGGGGTATGACGCCTCTAGGGAACATCACGCCTCTAGGGGGCCTCATGCTTCTAGGAGGCTTTATGCTGCCAATATTGTTAATGAACTTTTTTTGTATTTATTTTTTTTTTGGGGGGGGGGGGCAATTTAATTTGCTTTCAAAATGCAGCGGGAGGACCGTTTCTCCAGTTCTTTTCAACAAGTTTTCGATTTAAAATCAATTACTTTTTTTTTAAAAAAAAAAAAAAAAAAAAGGTGTGGGGGGGG